CGTGTTAAACGAAGATCTCAACCGGAGGGGTCCACAAATATTTCAAATTCCACTCAAATACCTACAAAATTCAAATCTCCATTTAATCCAAAGCTTCACCCAAATACTCCTGAAATCCAAAATCATCCCGAATTCTAGATATTTAAAAATAAAATCAATCCATCAAACACTTAAAGCAAAATCCATCCACCCTCCGCAACAGTCTGTCGGGGTGGACAAATTCAAATAAACTCTAGCTCACAAAGAGCCAAATGCCTAGTCGAAAATATCACTAGGATCCATTCTCAAACAATCTCTTGCCAGTAAGGACGTGGTACGTGTCCTCTAACCGGCAGTTTCGCCGCCAAATGGCACTGCAGGTAAACGGTTATGACTCGGGGCCCTCTGAACCGAGTGGTTTTGCCGCCAAATGGCACCACAGATAGCGGTTATGGCCAGAGCCGATACGCTCCTTAATGGCGTTAAATCCTTGAGAAATGAATCAATAGGATATGATCGATAGGGCACAAAGCCCTCTGTTAGCTAAGGTGGATTCAAATTTGTCCCCTTAGACAAACATCCAACCCCGGTCTACAAGGTCCCCTTGGACGAAGCAACCCATGGCTGCTGACAAGGATCCTTCTGTCAGGTTGGGTCGACTACCTCCTCTGACTAAGTAGACCAGGGACCACGATGGCCCGGGACGACGGAACCATGGGATCTTGATCGGGCCCATCATCCATTCCCCCACCATCCGCTTTAAGTGTGAGATGGTGCAATTTCAAGTTTTAAATATTAAACCTTTTCAAATTCAAACCTGATTTCTAAATCCAATCATTGTTGCTACTATATGACAGATAACACGTACTTATACGTATCTGATTGACGACTAGCCTTAATCGAAAGTTCTCTCTCGTGATCGGGAGGGGTAATTAGCTATAGGGGCTTGCGCCTATAGGAAACCAGAGCTCAGATCATAAAGTCCTCGCAAAATGAGGGCGAAATCTCTGGGTAGTGTCTTATCTACAAACCCATCTGTCTTCCAAAATTTACCTCGGAACTTATTCAGTTAAAACTCCCTCGCCGAATAAAAGGAAAAGCGAGCGGGGAGGCCGGGGCCGAATTTTCGGAGCCCACATCGGAGGAGGCCTTCTTCTTGTGGATGGAAACATCGAGTGAGGAGCCTCCTAGGCGACTGTTTGAGTGTGTGGGGAGAGCTGTCGTTGGAAGATGGAGGCATGAGGAGGAGAGCGTAGGTGAGAACTGCAGCTGATGTAGAGGTTCGTAGTGGTCTTTGAGTGAAGCGGCCCGACACATTCTTGGAGATGAAATACATGATGTATGGCGTATCTTAAGGCAGACGATTGAGGTACTACAATTCCCTATGTCGTTCAATCAAATGGGTGGCTGAGATTTGCGATATTAAGAATCGTCTGGTTCTGCTAAAATTGCCCGGTTCGGCGGATTGTCGGTCCAACCAGCTTCTTAACTAATTTTTTGCCGATTCTATGTCCAACCTATTATTTCAGCAAATCGGATCGGCCGCCGGACTGGTTCACAGTTGAACTGGCTAGTCCGATTCGATTTTTTAAACCTTGATAGTCACAGTTCGATGGGAATTCTTCCTCAACAAATTTCAGGACAATGATAATTTTAATCTAAATAATTCAAACACAATTCTTAAGGACTAAAATTGGGTTTTTTTATTTAATGCAACATTTTATTCAAATATATTGATCTAAGAAACTCATCCTTAAAATAATTTGGACCCACTTAATAGGTTTTAAGTTAGGGAAGATATACATTAAGTTTATAGTGAGAGAGCTTGCTCCCTTGGGGATATTGCCTTAGTTGATGATGTAGCATAAAGTGAGTGCTCTAGTTTTGGTAATCTAAACCTAGTGCATGGATACCAAACAAAGAGGGCATAAGATTCCACCCAACAAATTCTTTTTGCTTCATCATATGCAACTTTAATAATACATGGTGTTCTACTGGAGGATGATGTAACATCATGATGACTAAGCTAGGAAAATGTATGTATCATTCTATACATCACAAACCCAATCCAAGAATGACAAATGAGCTTTCTTTCATTAAACAGATTGTAACATAGGCATACGGGTTTAATATATAACTCACCCTTTCATATTATGGGGCTAATGAAAAACACTTCATATATAATATAGTTTTTTAAATAGCAACCATATAGCATCATGGGTTGTTGACCCTTAAGGTCTATCAGTTCAAAGGTTTCCCTCATACACCTATTATACTACGTAAGTACCTTTTTGAGCAAGCTCAAATTTTTGATGATCTTATATTGGTCGTTGCAAGATTATAACCAAGTCTCCACTTTAAAAGATGTAGATTGAGTTGGAGTTCCATATATGCTATAGTTAGCTCATAATGCCTCTGTCAACTTATCATATCATTCTCTCTTATTATCATTTTTTTTCAATTACTTGTTCCCGAAGTAATAGATAGTAGAATATAAACCCTAAATGTTATGAACGATCTAGTTTGTTTATTTTATTGCTCTAAATTGTGATGTTGTTTATCAAATATGATTCAATGCTAGGGATGCAAATGAGTTAAGCCGGCTCGCAAGCTTGCTCAAGCTCGACCCAATAACGAGCTCATAAGCGATCTTATCAAGCTTGAGCTCGAGCAAGTTAGAGGCAGCCCGACCCGTTAGCTCTTCGAGTGGCTCGAATAAGAATGTAGACTACAAAGCATGGTTCGAGCAGGGGCCGTGGAGCAGGAAAAAATAATATAATTCATTTATCTCTCTTTTGCATTTATTCCGTCAGGTTATTGTCTCTCTCTTGTCTGTTATGCTCTCTCCACTCCTTTAAGAACCCTCCTAGATTGACTCCGGCTAGTTCCTAGGATGAGTTTAGCGCGTTCGTTTTTTTCCTCAAGCGGTGAGAATGCCTTTTTTCTTAAGAAAAAATAATTTGTGATTATTGATTATATCTTTTCTTTCTTTTCTTAATAATAGTACTGAGGGATTTTCCTGGATTCAGAATTGAGGTTGCGTTAGATGTCCTTGGCTGTTTTGGGAGGCAGGGATTCAAGTTAGTTGGTCTAAATATAACTCTAAGTTGCAATTTATCTGCACTCGTTACTTGTTTCTTACTATGTTGAACTCGCCATACTTCCCTGGAGTGCGACAAGTTTTTTCTTCGTGTATGAAACTGATTCGTCATCATCATAATCACATGAAATCCTATTTTTATGACTATCATTTCCATTAAAATTTACATGAAATCTTGTCTTTATAACTATCCATCTCAATAGAAACTAACAAGGCTCACATTTGTTTGCTTTTTACAGCACTGCATTACAAAAGAGATCAAAGGACATAGCTCAGAAGGCTCTTATGGACGAAGGTGAACTGCGACGGTCAGCACGGGTTCGATCCCAACCAAGGTGTAGTCCGGCCATGGCATTTCACAAATACACCAATAAATGGAAGGAGAAACCAAAACAATCAAAACGCCATAAAAAAGGTCATACACTAAATTTGATATTCGTGGAGGGTACCTCTCCTTAAAGAGCATCTTTCAACAACAAAGTACTTTCGAGATGCATTTTTTGGCTATTGAATTTAGCAGAAAAATTGTTACGTGATACCACAATACTAAATTAATCAGCCTAGAGAGACTTGTTTTATTGACTTGGGCCGGCGCAGGTTCCCATCTCAGTTTTGATTCCTCTTTATCGCTGATCATTTTTTTTTAATTATTTTGTATTTCGTTCTGCCAACTTTTCTTACTTGCAGTTTATGCTAACAATTTCTGCGTAATTTAAATGTGACATCCTGCTGCAAGCAAATATTTTCCTTTGTGTATTCTTTATCTTTCAATTAACACACTGATGGTTATTTGTCAACATAAGAACTCAAGTGCTTCAAATTTTATTAAAGATTTAATCATTCATCAAGCAGTCAAAAATATATGTGAATGAATTGTTTAGTATTAAAAAAATAAATGTATTGATCTCAAACTATGTAACATTCTGTTAGACCGGTCCAGTGGACCGGTCCAGCCGGTCCGCACGGGATCGGCAGTTCGCAAAATGTCGCGTGATCTCCGCCTCCTGGCGGAGAACGAGCGGCCCGACCAGCCCACGTAGAGCCGTTTAGGAAGTTTTTTTTTTTTTTTTTTTTCGGGAGCCAAATAGGAAAGAAATTTTGGGGAGTTAAGAGGGAAATTTGAATGTAGGGACTGTTTAGGGATTTCCTTTTGATTTGTATGCATTAAATAGTTGATTTTCCTAGGGTTTGGGTATCTTGAATTTGGCTGAAATTTGAGATCTCTTAGATTTAGGTGTCTTTGGGCTCTAGCGGCGTCTAGAGATTTGGGAGAGATCGATCCTCCTCTCGAATTGAGGATCAATTGTATCTTGCTGTTTTTATTCATCTACTAGTGAAATACAAGCTTTCCTTTGAGTTTTCTCTCAGATTTTCCCGGACAAGTGCTGTTTTTCTGCTGTAAACAGCAGATTTCTGCTGTTTTCCTGCTGTGGACAGCCAATTGGCTGCTGTTTGTTTGCCGATTTTGGTTAGGTTACTTGCGAACTCAAGTATTTCCTATCACATTCTCTGTATTCAAGAATTATAAACACATCTTCATTCAAATATTGGTATTTCTTGGAAAATTTTTGATGCACTTTACTGATGATTGAATGGCAGTGAAAAGGTTTTGAAATTATGTGTGCTATAACCATACAAAAGAATAAGGATAAGGATTATGATCTTATATTTATAAATAATAACATCAAAGGAAGAAAAAGATACAAATCTAAGTTGTTGAAAGCAGCATATGATAAGATCATAAGAAGAGGCATTCTTTTAAGCAAATAGTGCGGTTAATATTCTTTCCTGCCTCAGAGGCTCTTCCTTGAAACTTCTAAACCCTAAAGCTCTCTTCTCATACATTCCCAGTGCCTGACAAACAGAGCAGTAGGCTTCAAAGTTGGACCAGTTGACAGCCAATTCGATGATTGGTTGAGACTGATGAAGAATCAGAGAAAAATAATATAACTCATAGGTATGGTTTATATTTCCAGGGACTGAATGGCAAGCTTTGCAGCAGCTAAAGCAGTGTTTTGTTTGGCAACTTTAATTCCAACATTTAACCTATCTAACGTGTCTCTGGAATCCATTGCTCGTAGCTTCTCTTTTTGTAAAGCAAACAACTCTGACTTTGAACATCCTAAATATCACAAGAGAAAACGATCAATCAAATAGAATGTGAGGAGTTCATCATTGAGCTTACAAATAAGTTGCACAACGATCATATACTCCATCTGATGTTCATTCCCTTCATTAGTTTTCATGTGTTAGTCTATTAGGTAAGGTAAACAAAAAGGAAAGTAGAACGATATACGTGCATTGCACCTGAAACAGGCTGGAGGGCAGCAAAAGATAAACGTTCAGCCAGATTGGGAATGAAAGCTTTATCACAATCATCATAGACTTCTTTCTCAGCCCACACCAAAGCATTCCTGGCTCTAGTTTGCAATAATTCATGCCTCGTAGCCTAAATAATTAAGCTTAGTTTATAGGAAAATGGAACGAGCAACGTTAGTTAAGAATAAATATTTACCTTCAATTTGATTTGCAAACTGTGTAGATCATCAAGTGAAGCTCTTAGCGTCGCAACTTTTGACTCTATTTCATCCACAACGTTATAAGCATTGTCTTGAATTGGCATGACAATTCCTCTCAAGTAAGGTTCCAACTGAAGCCATGTTCGGTATCAGGCAGAGCAAGAATGATACAATAGCGATATATATTTAAGCACAATAAACCTCTAAGAATTTTAGATACCCTTTATATCATCTTATATTATATAATATAATACATTCAAAATGTTAAATTTTATATTAATTCTCCCTCCCAACAATTTGATAAATATTTTCCTAAGAAAGCACAAAAAACCCAGCCGACCGACCACATTGACGCTGATAATAATTTTCCTTCTCAGAATGACTTATAAACGAATTACTAAAAACACTTACCTGCATCAGATCCACGATGCTAACACGACATATGCCCCTTATAGACACCAGTGCTCCAATATCTAATCTATCAATCTGAGCCAAGAGAAGAATTAAACTTGTGGGATCTATTTCTCGTAGCATATATAGCAAGCCAAGTGCTTACATTCTCTATGAGGACTAAACAGCCATATATAGCTACAAAAGGTGTTCCAGATGAAGATCTATCGGTGAGAACTGGCTCCATGACAAAGTGTACAAAAAGTCCTTTCCTCTCAAGTAATGACTGCAATAAGTAGCATAATCAAAAGAAATTAGCATTATCCGTTGCTTCCATCATTATATTGATATCTTGTGACATCAATTAAACAAGGACATATAATGTACAATTTATCAATGCATAAAATTTTAGGAATTCAAAAGAAAAAAGCTATCAATATAAAATTGCACGCATTGTGATCAGAAAGCATTCATGTTTTAGCTTGTAAATGAAGGAGGGTTGGACTGGACTTTGAGCCTTTTTTGAGGGCAATCTCCAAGTCTATTAGGAGAGCTAGTTCCACCAACTGGGATGATAAAGGGATCCTCTACAGTGACAATAGTTCTAAGGCCATCCTAAGGCTAGGTTGGCCAAGTCGGGTCCCCAAGGTCTAGCCTTCTAAATGGATAGAGGTCTTAGCTAAGGAAATCATAAGACTAAGATGATTGGGTCAATACAATGGCTCCAAGCTTTGGTTCTCTAAAGAAATAAAGGTCTTAGCTAGAGCAATCTTAGGACTAGGGTGACTGGATTAAGATTGCGGCTCCAAGGTCTAGATGCCTAAAGGTTGAATTTGAACTAAAAGATCTCTATAACACAAAAGAGAAGCCAGCAGTTAAATCAAAATCATGGGCATTAAAAAAAACTATAAAACAGGAGTGCATCAGTACATGAGGCACCTGCCATTGCAAAGCTTAGATAAAAGTTTATACACTCAACTTTAAGCTTGTCTTGCGGAGAAGTCATTTCTGTGATTTGAAACCGTCAACTCCAAATCACAATGGAGGAAAAATAGTCATTTTTGCATCGTCACTCTCTTTATTAAATAATATATTAAAAAATAAAACAACAGCAAGCTTACTCTATGCTTGCTCTATAACGCAAAAAATGCAATGCATCAAACTAAATTTATATAGCAGTACAAAAATTACCTCCTCTAACAATGCCAAATATCTCGCTTCATACAAATGCAGCATCTTGGACTCTGATGGAATTAATACCTAAATCATTACAGAGAGAAGGAAAGATGATTAAGAAGAACAAAATCTCTTCTAATTAGTTGAAAGCATTTGAGTAGCCCATGAACTGTAACGGATAAACTAGGAACATAAGAGCGAAGAAAAAAATAACCTATATTAATAAAGGGTAGACTAACGTAACTTTGGGAACACTGTGATAATGACCTATACATGAATTAACCTAAAGATATGCATATCGAAGCTGGATCACACATTGGAATCAAATTTCCGCCAAAACAACGCAACCCACGACCGAATAAGCAGGACTTAGTAATTAACAGGAAACGAGAAAAAAAATGTTTTATATGAGGTATCGTGAAGCTACCTCCTCTGATTCGAATGGCAACAAAGGAAGCTCCAAAGATGTCGACGATTCCAACGAAGAGGATGAGTACATCGCAAGCCTCTTCAAAACATCACCAGAGTAGCCGATGCTTACAGTTTCGGTAGAGCGGCGTCGAAATGGACTATGGAAGGGTCGAGCCTTAGGGCTGCCGCTGCGTAATGAAGAGGAGGCGAGCGTTAGGGCTCTATGATTCATCGTGAGACGCATCGGCCGATTGAAATGAGATGTGAGGCAACAGCAGACGGCGGCGCTCGTCCAAGCGGGAGAAGATATTGTATATACGGCTGAGATGGGCAAACGGGCGGGAGAGAGAAATGCAGTCACCTATATTAGTCTAAGGTTACAGCACAGGGATAAGATTTTATTTGGCTATATAAATTTTTGTATCTTCTATTAAAAATCAATTTAAAAAAAAATTAATAAAAAAATTATTTCTAATATTTTCTAATCAATTTTTTTTTTGTCTGAATCTATTTTCTTAACATAAGTCAAATATAATAATCTATTTTTCTAATGTTGTTTTATGTGAGGAAACCATCTAAGTTGATTCTATCTAATCTTATTTGTCACTAGAGCTACTCCAATCTTTTTCACATATATGCTCGTTTGTATCATGCTCTAAGTATAAAGACGCTCATCCACATGAGCACCCCCAACTCTGCAACACTAACTTCCCTTAACTTAATATTATGCTTCTCTTTTAATGGCCAATATTCTGCACCATAAAGCATTGAAGGTCTCAATGCCATCTTATAGAATTTTCACTTAAGTTTGAGATGAGCTTTTATTACACAACAAGTTTGATGCGTTCCTCCAATTCAACCATCCAACTTGACTTCTACTAATAATATATCTATTTCATCATCACTCTAAACAATATACCTAATATATTTAAAACATGTACTCTTATTATTGGCTTGACCGCCCAAAGTAACAATCACCCCATTAGATCTATTACTACTGAAATTATAATTTATGTATTCAGTTTTAGATCAACTCAAACGATAATTTTTAGACTCTAAGGTTGACCTCTATATATCAATTTTATCTTCAACTCCATCTCAAGATTTATCATCAAGAAGAATATAATGAGCAACAAACATACACCATGTCACATGCTCTTACAAATGTCTAGTAAGAACATCTATGACTAAAGCAAAAAGATATGGGCTTAAAGCTGATCCTTGATGTAATCCAACTGAAATAAGAAAATATTTGTTCAAACTACCTTGTGTTTGAACACAAGTAACAACTCTTACATGCATATCCTTAATAATTTAAATACAAACATTATTAACTCTTTTTTTTTTCTAAAACTCTATATAGCACTTCTCTTGGAACGTTATTATATGTTTTCTCTAAATCAATAAATATCATATGTAGATCATCCTTATTATCTCTATACTTATCCATCAAACCTCTCAATAAATATATAGCTTCCTTAGTAGACCTATCCGGTATGAATCCAAATTAATTTTGAGAAACATTAGTGTCACGTCGTAACCTATGCTCCATAACTCTCTTCCATAGTTTTAAAGTATGACACATTAACTTAATTCCTTTATAATTTGCACAATCTTGTGCAATACATTCATTCTTAAAAATAAAGAGCAACACATTAAATCTCCATTCAACCAACATCCTTTTAGTCTTCAAAATAATATTAAAAGTGTAGTAAGCCAAGAAATATTTTCATCTCCCAAGCATGATCACACCTTTATCGGAATATCATTAGGTCCAACAGTTTTTCCACACATCATTTTCTTTAAAGCCTCTTTAACTTCAATTTTATTAATGAGTAAATAAAAATAAAAATATGCATTTTCATTTAAGATGCTAATGTCACTAAAGTCAATCATATTCTCACAATCTTCATTTAAAAACTTAGCAAAATATCTCATCCACCTTTGTTGAATATCCTTTTCTAATAAAAATACTTTTTAATATTCATCCTTAATGCACTTTACTTGAACTAAATCCTTATTACTCGTATCTCTTTGTTTAACTAACTTTTGTATATAACAATCAATGCTTCTAAATATCTTTAAACATATTTGGCCTCACAACTACTTTCAAAATCAATCAAAGTAGAAATATTATGCATGTACCGAACTATCTCCTCTCATACTATAAGCTTAATCTTGATCTGAGAATAGAATGATGTGCAGTGCCTTTTTTATTATGTCAGCACGATCCTTTCTAAGACATAGGGATGCTACAAATTGGTAGATAAGACAATATCGGCTTTGGTATTTTTTGCATCCTTATTTTAAAGCACATATAATTATGGTTTATATAATTCTCTCATTAAGAAATATCCTCTAAAAAATGGAGGCATTTGGGAGATTAATCAGGCGGTAGAAGAATTTAATATCCATTTCTTGCAGAAGCCAAACATTTAGTCACAAGTACTTACAAACTTTCTGGTCGGATGCACCATCTCTATCTTCAACAAACAGCTCACCCATCCTTCTTCATCCATTTATTGAATGTTATATATTGATGGAGCTTCCGATAGTTCTGGCTCTTTGGCTAGAATTCTACTAATCTCCGCTTAAAAAATTACCTTATAATACGGGCTCCGACTGAAGTTCCTCACTAACAATAATGTTGTCAAGTAGTACCGGACTAAGGCTAGCTAAGACGAATCTTTTACGAAAGAGGTATTCGAGAGGGACTTTTCTTTCTATATCGTCACCTAAGATAGCATAATCGAGAAAGATTTTCTTGCCAGGCCGCCCACGAGTGGTGAGAAAGTGCAAAGAGTGGCCAAGAGGATAGGTATCCTAAAGGTTGTCCCTAAACATTATGAGCATAAAAAATCCAAATGGAAAAAAAGATAGCAGAAGCTACTCGACCTCCTAGATGAAATAGAAGTCGTGACAGCTTCCGAGGCCAGTAGTTGACTACGTAAAAGGTAGAGGTATTCTATAAGACAATTATGATTGAAGGACAAGCTAATTGCTTTATAATGCTAATTGGTTGGCTAGGGGATGTACCTATTCTTGGGTTCCAATAGGTGGAGACCCTCTTATCTCTGGACAATACAGAAGTAGTTACAGGCTTTCAATTAGCCTAGACATGATCTACCCCTACAGTGTCCTCCACTTATCTAAGCATCATAGAGGTCTCTGATATATCCCTTGTCTCTTTTACGAGGTGCTCGCACTAGCCCGGAGGCTGATCGCTTCCAAATAGGAAATTAGTGAAATGCTATTAAACACTGTAGGCTAGCAAGGAGGAATAGTAAAATGTAATCTATATATCACTCTACACATAATTTGTAATTAGGGGCTAGTAGCCAGGATGTCTGTATTAATGGATAACAATCTGATGAGTTTAGTAAGTAAATTCCGCCAATTCCCAATAAGGGCGAACCTATTAGAGAGTACTCTAGAAGTTTAGTAATTAGGGAGAAACCTCCAGCTGATCCTTCAACGTCTGTACCCAGTAAATCCCAGGGGACTGGCTAAGGAAGGGCTCAATATTATCTAAGGCAGCTTTTTCCGTGCACAACCCACTTCAAACCTAAACACCTTGTATTATTATGCCATGTTCCCTATCTTCATCATCAATTACTGAAACTGCCTAACATACTTACGCACTGACCCAGTCTGCCTCAGTTTATGCAAAGCTTCTCTACCCTGCCATGACGCATTCGTGTGGACTTTCGCATTTCCAACTAACGCTCGTTTTGATAGACAGAAGGTATAGCGAAAAACACTGTTTTGAATTTACCAGAGCAAGGCCCCCTACTCACCCTGTTCACGGTTGGTTGGCTGGTAAGAGTAATAGGTCTTCTCTCTTTTCTCTTTACCTTGGTGTGTGACTAGGAACTAGGAGCAGCTATTGCTATGGAATCCCCAACTGTTAGCTCAGTTGATTGTGAGGTGAAAGTTTTGGTAATTCATACTGATTTGTAATTCATCATCTCTCAAGTGAAGGAAAAATTTGATGCCCATAACCCATACTTAGCATAATATTATAATATCGTAAAGTTGCTTCTGCTTACAGGAAAAAAAAATCAAATAATTTGCGTACTCCGAGAGCAAAATGCATGGACAGATACCCTCTCAATACTTGCTACTTCAACAACCTGAGATATATTTTTCAAGAAAAAGTGTATTGAGAAGGCAAATTTGGGTTGGGCATACATGCAACAACACTGCTTTGCTACAGCAGAATTTCGAAGGCAGACAACGAAATTCACCACCATTGGTGGAGAAGCTTATCGAGGACCTCTTGATTTTTTCTTTATTGGGAAAATTTCGGTGTTCTCTAGCTCTCTCAAATTATCTATCTATGTACTCGATATACATGCTTCACTAAAACAAAAAAAATTATCTTATTCTATCATCATGAATCTACCAACTCACAGTAAGTATGAAAATTGTTTTGAACGAAGCCCAAAGTTTATATGAATGTACATTAACCCGCTCAAGCCTTGACATTAAGGTTTCATTTGGGATAATTTTCTAATTGCTTCTTAAATCATTTTTTTTAAAAAAAATTTTAATTTTTTACTGTTTGGTTGCCTGAAAATAAGAAGCAACAAAATTACATTGTTAGTTGAAGTATTTGCTGACCGGACCTATATTACCGAGATGGTAAATCCATCGTTCTGTAAGCCCAATCTGTAAATAAAATAGCCCATTTGCTATGGCTATATAAGTTGGAACCTGTAGTTTCTGATTCCGATTTCTCTATCCGCGAACTAAACCGCATCTTGCTAGGGTTTAAGTGCAGGGTCTCGCTCTCTTTTACGGGATCCCTTTGCAATGGCGAAGCCCGGACGTCCTCGACCGGCGACTTCTTCTGGCTCCCGTTCCCGCTCGCGCTCCCCTTCCTCACCTTCGCGCTCTTACTCAGGCTCGGATTCCCGCTCGAGGTCGCGCTCTCGCTCTCGTTCGAAGTCCTTGAGTTCATCCTCGTCACCCAGTGAGAGCTCCCGAAGTCGTTCCCCACCGCCTCAGAGAAGAAGGTGATGTCGTTTTCTTCTGCGGAGCGTTTCTGTGGTTGTTTTTTCTCCCTCGTCGGGTTTGGCGATTTTATGATTTGGGAAGTTGAAGATAGATATGTGGATTTACAAGGTTTATAGAAGCTAATCATTTTTTGACAGTCTTTTTTCCTGTTTGTTTTTGAGTTTCTCAGACCATTCACGTAATCCATGCTACATGAATGGTTCATTTGTTTGGAGAACTTTGAGTATCACGCTTTATTATTTGAGTTTGTTCTTTTTATACACGCTTGTTTTAGAGGATAATTGTGATGCGTTTTTATTTCTTTATGATGGAGCGCGTCTTTATTTTTCCATTTTTTTTAACTAATCAATCTTCACTAGCTATGTAGATGCTGCATCCTTGTTGATTAATGATATACATTCAAGCAAACTTTGTAAAAAATCTGCGAAATGGAAATCGCCTTGTGTAAAAATTCTCAAGGGAAAACTTGTTGGGCCTTTAAAATGCCAGACTGGCGTATATTGATTCTACAGGAAGCTTATATTTCAGATATATAGAAAAGGTAATATCGGGAAAGTCAATGTTGGGAGGTGTCTTTGTCTAAATACTGTATGATTGTTAGAGCCTACATTTTGCCTCAGGAGAGCTGGAGAATTCTAGGAGACTGGGAATGCAGCTATCAGAAGTCTGAGAGAATACGCTGTACACTTTTATTCCCCGGATTAAGAAAGAAGTATGCTATGTTTGTTACGCCTGAACTTTTTTGCTTGTTTTGCAAACATCAGGAAAACATTGACCTCATTTTATAGAAGATGTTCAAGAGTAAATCATCATCACTATGTCAATATCACATAATTTGACCCCATGGAATTGATAAGTGGGAGCAGGTCCGGCTTTGCTGATAATAATGAAACTTAAAGTAATCTAAACTGCAAGCATGCTATTTATTTGATTTTTTTCAAGATTATTATAATTAGCTAATTTTTTTTTTTCACCGATCAATTTTTCTAGATCCTTCTTCCATGGTATGTAGTTCATTGCCTTTTGCTTGTCTTTTCAAACATTTCTAAACTCAATGAGAACCATCTGGTCTACAATTGTGATCTTTTATCGTTCTTTACATAAGGACGCATTAGACAAAATTATCTCCATTTGCGACTACTACAATCATGGTGAAAACTCAAATCTCCATCGAGCCAACTCCATTCAACAAGGGACAATTGGAATTCTTATAAAAAGGAAGTTTTAATAATCCCAATAGAACACTGCCTCTTATAATGGTATTTCTACCCTCCCACAAATTGGTAAATTTTTGAGTGCCTTAAATGCAAAATTGGAAAATTCAAATCCATGGATTGTCGTCTCAGGTGTGTAAGATTACATGACCGATGATGCCTGTATATTTCATAAATACAATCTATGTTGTGACAATCTTATTCTTTGAATTGCTAATGCATAACTCAAATGTCTTGGTAGAGGCTCCGCTATCAGTTCAAAGTATTTAACCCTTGATATTGTATTCATGGTTCCAATTTAAATTGCAATTAACAGTATATAAGCAAACTTACAAGATATCTTAATTGTGTTGCTAATTTTTTTCCCTAATTTGTGTGAATTGCAGGAGTTGGATTTAGGAAGATTATTTATATTGCTAGGATTTGCGCATCTATACCTTTTAGAGTTGACACTCCTCAATGACAATCTCAAAATAACAATTATGTGGCTCTTTTCCAATAGTGATAAAGATGGTGCTGTAATTTTGTGGCATTATCGATTAACACACCCAAATTTCTTATACATTGAAAAACTATTTACTTCATTATTGAGGAAAAAAAAAAAAAACAGTGTGAGCTTTATCAACTATCCAAGCATGTTCGCAATGCCTATCAAAATCAACCTTATAAACAATGTCACAGTTTTCTTATGATAAAGAGTGATAGATGGGGACCTTTTATTGATGATCATTACATTTAGTGATGATCACACTAAAATTAAATAGGTATTTATGATGAAAGAAATGACAAAAGTCAACAAAACATTCTAGAATCTCAATAACATGATTCATTCTGAATTCAAAACAAGTATAAAAGTCTTTAAATCAAACTATGCCCGAGAATACTACACTCAAATTTTGGATTGTATATGTTATGTCAAGGGATAGTGCATTAAAACTCGTGTGTTGATACCCCAATAAAATGGATTTGTTGAAGGGAAAAATTGACATATTGGAATTTGTCAGATCCCTTATGTTGTTATCTCACGTTCCAAAGCATTTGTGGGGTGAAGTTGTTTTTATTGTAACATATCTCATCAGCATGATGCCTAGTTGGGTTTGAACTTCAGCACTCCATGCCAACCACCTCTTCATCTCTACATGTTTGAATTGTCTCCACCATTTCAAGCAAAGTATTCATGTGTACTGTCATTGTTCACATACATAATGGACATTGAAGCAAGCTTGACATATTATATCTCAAATGTTTACTTCTTAGACATTCTTCGGATAAAAAAGTTACAGGTGTTATTGTCTAGGTAAAAGAAAGTTCTACAACTCCATGGATGTGACATTTTTTGAGAATCAATTCTATTATCAGATGCCTTCAATTTACGAGGAGAAACTTATCACACCAAAATATTAGCTTCAGGAAAATGGGAATTCTGAGCAACCTCAAACAACCTCCATTCATCCATCATGTCAGTGGCACTCCTACTTTGAACCACGGGAAGCCCAAGCCAACCGTACTGCAACACTAGATCCCCTCAACAAGATTCTCCAAATACAAAAAACCACTCGAGGACTAAATATTTGGCTATCTATTCAAGAAAACAAAAAACTCAAAAGAATGTATATCACTTAACACCTCTCAAGCATAACTAGGATCTGAACCAACTCTTGAGATTCCTATAACTTGCCTAGGTAACATTTTCATGAGTTTGATTTTATTATGGCTCGTAATGAACTTCATCAACCTATTACTATTAGAAAGGGTGTGGGATCTCATACTCAACATTGGACCCATAACTTTGTTTCTTCATGAAGGATTGTCTTCCAGCTTTTGAGCTTGCCACCACTCTTACAAATTTTAAATGTTCCAAAGAACTTACAAGAAGCTCTTAACGAATGTAAGTAGACTATTTTGAAATAAATTAAAGCACTGAAGACATAGAAAGCTTGAGAAATCTCTGATGTACTTGAATGAAAAAGATCAATTGAATCCAAGTAGATTTTCACTATTTGGTACCATGAGTATGGCAATGTGGGCAAGTTCATGGCTTGACTTAATGCAAAATGGTTCACCTAATCATTTGGAGTTGATTATTATGAGACATGTGCCTTAGTGTCCAAAATCAGTTCAATTAGAGTTTTGCTATCATTGGCAGCAATTTCACATTGGACTAGATGCCAAGAATGCGTTCTTAAATGATAAATTTAAGGAACAACTCTATATGAAAATCCTCTGGGTTTTTAAACTCATGAAAACACCAATAAAGTTTGCCAGCTTTGAAAGTCATTTTATGACATTAAGTAGTCTCCACATGTTGATTTGATAGATTTACAAAAGTGATATAGAGATGGGCTTGCTCAATGCCAACCAAACTACAAGATGTTTGTTAAATTCTTTCTCGAAGGGAAAATGACCATTCATATTTTATATGCAGATGATGTTAACCTTCTTGGAGATGGCTAGGAAAAGATTAGTAAATTGAAGAATGTGTTTGCCATGTAGTGTGAGATCAGAGACTTGGGTCATCTGAAATACTTTTTTGGCATGTAAGTAAATCCTAGGAATGATAATTTCATTTGCCGACTAAAGAATGATCTAGATCTTCTAAAAGGATGCTTGGTCTTTAATCGGTTCACATTCTCATGGATCTTTGACAATAAAATGGGAACAAATGAATGAAGTCCTTTTGTGGATGAAGGTAGATATTAGAGGTTGGTTGGGAAGCTCATTTGCCTCTCTCACACATGATTAAAAATCACCAATCCTTTTTTCTCCATTGTTTTCTATTAAGAGTCAAAATTTCATCTAAATCTAATAAAAAAAAAGATCATTTGTAATACTTTCTAACCAAGTGTTTTTAGATTTGCCTCTATCTTTCTTAACATAACCAAGTTTTTAAAACTTGTTGTTTTTAGGTCCTAAGTCATGGACGAGAAAAGTGAAGAATTTTATTAGATAATTGACAACCAACATAAAACTAGTCGAACAATCAAGATTGATTGAATACAAATCATTAACGATAAATTACGGGCAATCAATAGCACCACACAGATTGTGAATCACATATGATCAAAAACCAGTTTCTCTTTTAGCATGTTCATCTATCTTTGAACAATCCCATGAAAGAACACTTGGGACTATGTATCAAATTTTTGCAATACCTAATAAGGAATCCTGGATAAGGATTGCACAAGTTTTTATGTTTTGGGCAACCATTGTTACTCTCTTTTCTTTTTTTTGAAAATATCTTTCTAGATGTACAAGTTTTTATGTTTTGAATAATGAGATATTTTGGGCAACCATTGTTACTCTCTTTTCTTTTTTTTTTTACAGTTTTTTTTTTCATGCATTTTAGGCAGTTCTTTAACTATAATCAAGGTCTGATTTTGTTCCTCTAGCTATAAAACTAGCCCAGTCTTATGTATCAAAGAGGGTTGACAATCGAGATTAAGCGATAAGGGATAAGGGATTGTTCAATGCTATCAAGCTTAAGATGAAATCGGTTGAGATCAATTCACGAGGTTCTAGAGTGAACTTTCATACTCGAAAAAGGAAGATTGTTAGTCATCAACTTCCCTATTAGTGAAGAGAGGTTGATCACCCTCTTTATTATTTTGTGATGAGACTCCGATCTCAATAAAGGGCTCTGAAAGCAGCACTTGTCAGATTTTTAATTTTCTCTATCGTCAAATATTTTTTGGAATACATTCTATCGATAGATCAATATTCTCGTCTAGTCCTTAACCACGGATTGAGGTTCTTTGAGTTTGAATATCATAGTGTAAGGGAATAGCTCATGACATAAATGCATTGAAACTTAGTAAAATGAGTAATGAACCAGTCAGTACTTGTCGCCGTGTTCTGTATGTCCACAATTCATTTGTGAGAGTAAATAAATTTTTTGTGCCGTTTTTTATTTTATTGGATAAATGCCTATTATGATGTGAAATATGGTTTTTGCTTTGCCAAACTTTATTTGTTGAAAATTTTATTCGCACTATTCTGAGCTTGTCAATTACCATTTAATTGGCTATTACATATTTTCTTAGAACTATGCAGCTTGATATTATCAATTCTCTAGAAAATTTGTAAACGTACCAATCAGTGGAGCTGTTTCTATTTGATATTTTAAAAGTGGCTGCAATATTCGCTTGCTTTAGGATGCATTCTTTCAATGTTTTGTTTCATATATTGTTTCCTTAAAGTAAATTTCATCACGTTTTTTGAATAATATATGTTTTGCTGGTTTTTGCATCAACTCTTTGTAAGTTATTTTTTTTTTTTCAAAATCACTTTCTATTGTGATTATTGAGATAGTTAGGTTAATATTCTACTGAAAATTTAAGGGTAGGGTTTTGTTCTTTTATAGATTATTTGTGTCTTTTCAATGCCATTTTCTTAAAAAATATTGCTAATCATCAAATATTCTTGCAGTCCCCCTGCAGCTGGAAGGAAAGGCCGTTCTCCATCACCACCGCCTAAACGAGGCACACCCCCTAGGTCAGGTTTTATTACAATTTATGATTTTTGGACTGGAAATTTCCTTCAAAATAGTTTTGGGTTTTTGATAATAGTTTTTTTTTCACCTTCAGATACCTCATAGGTTCTTATAACATGCTTGATTTGTTCATGGAAATGGTTTTACTGTTACTTAGTAACTTTTATTATATTTGATAGTTGGAGAGTGTGGGTTATTGATGGATTTTGTGTTATTTTGATTGAGCGATGATTATGTGGAGTTGTAGGTTGGCTAATGAGAGTCAAGTGGAGGTTATATGGTTGGCCTAGGCTTGGTACGAAGGTTTGACTGGGAGCTCTAATGGGAGGAGATGGAATACAAGTAATAAATGAGGGGAGGGATTGTTGTCTCACCAAAGAATTACAAGATAATTAAAGAGTTTGAAGATCCAAACGAAGGAGACTTAAAGGTTGTTGGAGAAGATCAACAAATATATGTTGAGTTCAAACAAGGGATGGTTTAGCCATACGCACTCTCATCTTGATTGGAGCTAGGTGGTGGAAGACCTTGCAAATGAGGTTTTAAGGTCCAACCCTCCATTGTGCCCACATGCTTGGTCTTGATCCTCTTGATGCCATGAAACTTTATGTGTTTGGTTTAGATCTAGTTTTTTTGTTTTTTTTTTTTTAATGCTGCCTCGACATTTTGCGATAGTTTATTGTAATACTGTTTAAACTCTGTTTGTAAAAAGGGAGGACTGCATTTGAGTTGAGAAACTTTCATGTTCATAATGCAGTGATGCCTTAAGCTACGGGAAACTTTTTTGATTGATGTTCATGGCTTTATGTTATGCCAAATTTGATTTACAGCTGGTTTATGGAACAGATGTAGGTCTTTATCTCTACTTGGAAAAAAAATGCGATGTAGCTTTAATTTTACAATTGGTACTAGCACCAACCAAAGTTTCATTGTAAGTGGCAAGTCCTTGAAGCTAAGTTAATATAAAGCTTGGATTTCTTTCTCATGTATTTGATAATATAGATTGTATATGATCTCTTATAGTTGTCCATGACACTTCTTTGAAGTTTTTTTTTTAGATCAGCATGTTGTATATTAACACCCTCCAAATACTTATTGGAACTTGTCTGCGTTTCTTTAACATATATTATTGGGATAAGATCCTTTGGGTTCAATTTCTGGTTGTTCCTGAGAGATGCACCTTCTTAATGAATATATTTGTAAAACAATATTTTTGCTGGTTCTCAGTATTTAGCTGTTAAGACTTTTAACATGACCACATTTTTTATTTTTATTGTTTGCTGTTGCCGCAGCAGCAACAACAACAACAACATCAAGTCTTTATCCCACTATTTGGGGGCAGCTACATGAATCCTTTTTCTCCATTGTGCTACTATGTTAAGAGTTAAATTCTCATTTAAATCTATCATGATTGCTGTTGCAGAATATAGAAAATTGTTGTGTCCCTTCCGTGTCATATACTGTAAAACTTTTACGTGGTCCCATCTTGTGTAATGGCTGTCTTGTTTCTGTGTTTTTGCTTTGCAATGTGCTCAATAACTAGAAGCCTCCTGTGTTTTATTTTTGTGTATTTTTTCTGCAGATAAATATGCCCGATAATCTGTTCAGCTGATGATTGCACATTATAAAACTATAATAAGCAGGCCATGCATTATCTTTTATGTGAACTTTCTATTTAATGGGTTTTCCATGATGATTTTTATTATTAGATCTGATTCCAACTGAACTTTATCTGCTCAACCTTATCATGTGTCCATGTTGATGTCTTATTATTCATTGTTGACAACTAAACATAAGGCAATTGATTGTCTCGTTTCAGTTCTATGACCTAAATGAGATGCTTTAGTCTTCCCTTTTTTGCTTGTTCTGATTGGTGGAACTTCAGTACTTATATGATTTATGTTTGTAACCCCTTTCTCTAATTTCATTATTATGTTTATTGCGCATGGATCCATGCTTCTTACTTAATTTTTATCTCTGAATGACAACAGCTATTCTTTGTTTCTTTGGACTGCTACAATTTAGTGTTAAAGCTGTATTTTTTACCCCAACTGTTTATGCTATCACAGGAAAATATCTCCACCAGTTATTGAATCTGTCGTTCTCCACGTTGATCATCTATCTAGGAATGTAAACGAGGCACATTTAAAAGAGATATTCAGTGAGTACTTTTTTCGTCAGAACTAGATAGGTCTTCTGTTTCCTTGCAAGTAAAATATTTGTTGAGAAATGCTTCAACATTGACAGATTGTATGAAAAATTGTCCAAGCAATTGAAAATTTGCTATACTGTCTTATTTTGATTCAGACTTTTCATTGTCCAGACATTTGACAGATTGTAAATTCACAAATAATGACAGATGGCTCTAGACCCAAAGTTGATTGACTTACATGCTATTTTCCACATTCTGATCTCACTGCATATTAACTTACATTTTACTTGGTGATGAGGAAACTATTTTTGTTATAACTTATACATTGCTTTCATAAAGCTGAAGAAACAATGCTTGTTAAAGCTGGATGAGTGGTTCTTTTTTTCATAGTAGCTTTTAAAGCTTGACCATAAGTTGAAGCTTGTTTTTTGGTTCTTTTAGGCGATTCTATCCAATAGCTTTTTGAAGCTATATGCTCTTAATATGCTTGTAGATTATACTTCTTTTACTTAGAAGCATCTCATTGAATTAGGATGAGTTAGTATGCATTTCACTTTTTTTTTTCTATTATTTAGGTATTTGATATATATGCGGACTAACTTAATAATTTAATATAACGTTTCCTTGATTCTTTTTATATCATTCTTGTGTTTGCCCTATATTTTGTGAAATGTTAAACTTTGGTTCCCCCCATACCTAACATTACTCAGACTACTTACCTTTTATTTGTGTGTCCAATTTTCTTACGGCTTTAACATTTCTTTGGGTTATTAAAAGTAAATATAAATTCATGAAGCTTTTCCTTCAAATTTCTTCATACTTGCGATTTTTAAAATATTGGCTATAATGTATGATTTAATGTTCTGCAATGAGTTACTGTTAGTTGATTCTGATTGTTTTTGCGATTTATGTTTGTAATGAGTCAATGCTAGATTAATATTTAATAATATCCATTGGTTTTCACAGATATGGTCTTTATATGATTATGGACTGGTTTGTTTTTTACTGGGACCTTCTGTAATTCATAAATCTAATTTTATGCCTGCGATCTCCACTACATTGTTCTAAATCTCGGGCTTTTATTTTGTGAAGCCTTTTAAGTAGAACCTACCTTTTTTATTGCTGTCCAACATTTGTCTTTTGGGGTTATTATGAGCATCTTCTAGGCATATGGTGAGACAGTTTTGGCTGTTATGATGTATCCTGAGAATCTGGTAATTATTATAAACCTGTACTTTATGGACAATTTCCCTAAACGTATGTTAGAAAGGTTGTGTCTAACCAGGTTCTCTTATAACATGGTTTATCTGTAGTGTTGGGTTGCTTGGTTTTGTCCCATTGGAGTCGATCAATATTATTAGAAGAGTAAATGATATGTGGTATAATAGATTTAAGCATCATCGATCTATTATATAAATGAATTGGGTATAGAAAAGCAGATGTTTTATAGAGTTAAAAGCCGTGATTAGATATTAAAAGTAAATTGGGAGTATTATGTGATGCGAAGGTTTTATGGATATTTAAAAGATAAATTTAATAAAGCTCTAATAAGTCCAATTATGCTGTATAGATCTAAGTGTTCGATGGTAAAAAAATTGTTGATCATTTAGTTGAACATAGTGGAAATGAGAATGTTTAGATGAATATGTGGGAAAACAAGAAAGAATAAATTAACGTATGATCATATTAAAGGAATAAATGGAGTGTATAAAATGAACCAATTGGACGGGTAAATAGAATTTGCGTCGAAGAATTATGAAGGAAATTGAATACACTTAAGGTAACATAGGTAAAAATTATTTAAAACGATTTAAATAATTATTTTCATCTCATGTAGAACTTAACATAAATAAATGAAAAATAAAGATTCTATAAGCTGACCTCAATTAGTGTTGATGAAAATAATAAGTTCTTCCATTTTAACAGTTAGAGCAATTGCCTAAGCTTCTTGGGCATAGTGACATGTGTTATATATGCATTGGCCTTTGTTATGTGTAAGCATGATCATTGACACTAGCGGCTTCTAAGCCATGAAAGGCACCGTTATTTGATTTTGAATTGCATGTTTACAGGTAATTTTGGTGAGTTGGTTAATGTGGAGCTTTCAATGGACAGAAATGTAAGTGGCTTTTTTAGTCTACTTGGGACAATTGTGGATTTGAAATCCATGGCTCACTCTTTGTTATTTTTAAGGTCAACCTTCCCCGAGGTTATGGTTATATTGAATTCAAGAAGAGAACAGATGCTGAGAAAGCCCGTCTTTACATGGATGGTGTATGTGCTGTTATTTGGAAAAACTTATTAGCGTCCTTTAGCTTCCCCCCCCCCTCATTTTTTCCTTCAATTTATGCGTTAATCTTATTGTTTCTTATCCCATAACAGGGTCAAATTGACGGAAATGTTGTTTCAGTAAAGTTTACTTTAGCACAACGGCAGAAGGCTTCATCCCCCCCAAAGGTGATTCCTCCTCCAAAGAGAGAAGCACCTCAAAGGGATAAGATCCTTACTGGATCAGAGAAAGAAGTTCCACCCCGTCCTAGGGAATGTAAGTTACTGAGCTTTAAAATGGATTAATAAATTCTACTTTCCAGATCCAACCCGTTATTTGTGTTATTCTCTGCATTTATTTTGAAAGCCCTGCTGAATTATTATTTTTGTTTCTTGCCTAGAGTTCAACATTGAGTATGTTGTTTTATTTTCCCGAGAGTTTCGATTTTTTATTTTCTGCGTTCCTTCTGTTTTTTATTGTTTTTCTTAAGTTCCCAGCTGGTACTGATCTTATTTTTACCTAATGTGCTTTGGCAATCATCTTTTAGTAGGTCATAAAAATATGATACCTTAGATTGGTATCTGTTTGTCAGATCTATACTGTTTTCATACGTAAAACTGATATTCCTCAATGGTTAGCTTCTCCGCGTCGTAGACCGCCATCTCCACCACCACGAAGGCGATCTCCTGCTGCAATTCGTCGACCTGATTCGCCTAGGCGTCGACCTGATTCCCCTCCTCGTCGCCGTTTGGATTCTCCAGTGCACCGGAGAGCAGAATCCCCTCCTCATCGTCGTGGAGAAACACCACCTCGCAGGAGGGCTGCTTCTCCAGTTAGAAGACGCTCTCCCTCTCCCCGAAGACTTAGATCACCCGCACGGTTTGTCATAGTTATGCAATTCTGCTAACAAAGTTTGTCGACTCTTGGCTGTTAGTTGAGAACTAATTTCCAAGTGAATCTTAACTGCAGTGTTTCCCCACGAAGAATACGTGGCAGTCCTTCCCGCAAGCGCTCCCCATTACCTCTCAGGAGGAGGTAAGTCACATTATTGTTTTTTGAGCAAGTCTAAATTAGCTTCCCTATTTATCTTCAATAATTATTTTGATCTCATTAAAAGTGGGCTTGCCACTCTTTTTCATGATAAAATACTATTCAGTATTATGCATTGTTATTGTTGCTTTAAGAGGTTATAGTATTCCATGAATAGTTTATCATATTTACTCTCTCTATTATTTTTTTTGGCTGCAAAAGTAAATTGATTTTGTAGTAAACTCAGGCTTCATTTGGGGCAGCCTTCTTAATGCTTTCTAAAGCAACTTTTTGTTATAAAAACTTCTCAAAAGCAAAAAAATAATGGTGGTTAAAAATTGTCCCAAATGAAGCCTTAGTCTGCTTGGTTAATAGATTGGCTATAAGTTGAGAATTCAAAGAACTTTTTGCACGTAAAACATAGGGTGAATCAAAAGATTTTTTCAGCATGAAAGCAGTACATTAGTGACTTATCTACTGTAGTTTGAATTGCATTAGTAACTTATCTGCTGTAGTTTGAATTGCTTTAGAGTTTGCAAAGATCACATATATAACCTATTTCATGGAGTTTAAAGCAAATGAATTCTCTAAAAGAATTGATGTTTATAGTTAAGTAGAATTGTAAAAAATTATGAAATGATTATGTTGAGCATAAGTTGAGATATATAGAAAATTCTGCATTAGAGGGCTTGATGATCATTGATAAGTGTTTGTTTAATGTAGGAATGTGTATTATATTTGATTAGTTGAAAACTATTTTTTTAATATGATTTTGAAGGCTAAAAGATGCCAGATGAGTGGAGAATGAGTGTGTTAATTTCTTATTTTAAGAATAAAGGTTTTGCATAAGATTGTGCGAATTATAGAAGAATAAGATTAATGTGTCATACTTAAAAACTATGAGAGAGAGTTATAGAGCATAAGTTATGACATGATACTAATGTTTCTCAAAATTAATTTGGATTCATGCATGGTAGGTCTACTATGGAAGCTATACTTTTATTGAGTGGTTTGATGGAGAAGTATAGAGAGAATATAGAGGATCTTCATATGATATTTATTGATTTATAGAAAGCATATGATAAAGTTCCAAGAGAAGTGCTATATAGAGTTCTAGAAAAGAAAGGGGTTAATAATGCTTATATTGAAGTCATTAAGGATATATATGCAGTAGTTGTTACTTGTGTTCAAATACAAGGTGGTTTGACCAAGTATTTTCCCGTTTCAGTTGGATTACATCAAGGATCAACTTTAAGCCATATCTTTTTGCTTTAGGCATGCATGTTCTTATTAGATATTTGCAAGAGGTTGTACCATGATGTATGCTTTTTGTTGATGATATTCTTCTTGTTAATAAGCTAGAGAGGGAGTTGAAGGTAAACTTGAATTATGGAGGTCAACCTTAGAGTCTAAAGGTTCTCATTTTAGTAGATTTAAAACTGAATATATGGAGTGTAATTTTAGTAGTAATAGATCTGGTTGGGGGGATTATAACTTTGGGCAATCAGGTCATTAATAAGAGTTTACGTTTTAGATATTTTGGGTCTATTGTTCAGAATGATGCTGAAATAGATAGAGATATTATTAGTAGAATTTGATAGTTAAAGTGGAGGAATGCATCGGGCTTGTTGTGTGATAGAAACCCTTCATTAAAAGAGAAGCATAATATTAAGTTAAGTGTTGCAAAGATGAGGATGCTTAGGTGGATGAGTGGATTTACTCATAGAGATATGATACGAAACTAGCATATACGCGAAAAGGTTGCAATAGCTCTAGTGGAAGATATAAGATTAGAGAGAGTTGCCTTAGATGGTTTGGTCACTTAAAACGGTGACCTTTTGATGACCCGGTTAGGAGGGTTGATGTATTAGATTTAGCTTATGTTAAGAAAGTTAGAGGTAGACCTAAAAAAACTAGGTTAAGAAATATTAAAAATGACATTTATTTATTAGATTTAAATGAGAATTTGACTCTTAACAGAGACACAATGGAGAAAATTGATTGATGTAATTGATCTCACGTAGTGGGATAAATGCTTGATGTTGTTGTTGTTGTTGTAGGTGAAAACTAACTTGAAAGCCTGTTTCAATGAAAATCACAAAAAATAGCACCGTATAAATTTGAGAGGAACAGGCGGTAGTGAGGACAACAAGTTTGATTGAGAGATGATGGGCTCTAAACTCTTGAAACAATGAAAATTGGCGAATGCAATTTCTGTTTTATTTGTGAATGTGAATTTGGAATCCCTCCCTTTAGTAATAAAAAGAGGGTGAATGAGAACTTATAAAAGGAGCATTCTTATGTTCATCTGATATGATGAAATATAAATAGAAAATAGCATATAGCATTATGAAATATTATTCTATTTGCTATTATTTTTTAATTATTAGAAATAATATCCATTTCTAGCTCAAGGTTTTTATTTTGGTTTCAGACTTTTTGGGGATTTCAATCGAGGTGGTAGCTCTGGTTTGCTATTTCATTTCTGGTTTCAATTTTAAATTTAATTATTATGTTTTATATAATTTTTCATAGTATACATAAGAAAAATATCAAATAATTAGCGAGTGTAATCTTAAATGTATCTTGATATTTGTAAACAAATTTAATTAGTTATATACTTGATGTATTAAATTTTTTTTCTTAATTTCGATTGTATATTAATGTATTTTGTAATACCAAGCTTCTATATTAAATATTTAATTTTATGATTAATAATGTTAAATAAATCACTCTATCCTATATATTTTATAAAAGAGCTTATTTTAGAAATAATCATATTCAGTAGACACTAACTATTTTTAATTGCATTGATATAGATTACATATATTGCTTAGGTAGTATATGTTAATATTAGAAGCTTGGTATTGTGCTTTACTATGAATGTTTCCCCCTTTGACAAGTCAGGATTGAATCTTGGACAATGTTATTGGGCTGCAAAAAGTTTTCAAAGTGCATGTGGCCAGATTGATACTAGTAAAAAGCTGGAATTTGAGAAACTCTTTTTGGATCTATTTTGGGATATTTTAAAAACTATGAATCTGGTGATTTAATATGGAGTGCTCTGTTTTCTATAATGCCATTATGCACATATTAATGTTGAGTTTATATTAGAGTCTGTTTGGGGTGGCTATAACTTTTTATAAAGGTGGTTGTGAAGCTGTTTGGGAAAATAATTTTTGGGAAAATAATTTTTTTGAAAGTTATGTGATTATAAATGTATTATTCATTGAAAAAGTTGGATAATAGTTTTTTTTTACAGTATCCACACAATAGTAGATATGGTTGCAAAGAGCATCTTCCAACACAGATTTTTGGGAAGCAACAGGAAAACAATAGCTAAATGAAAGTGTGATTGCGGTATAAAAAGCAAAACAGTCAAAAAGCTATCTCAAATAGGCCATTAGGCTCTACTTGTGTTTCTATTGTTGATAAAGTATGACAAAATGTTGATGTCTAAAAGATATTATAGGAGGCTATTTAATATAGGTGTGTAAATGAGCTGAGCCAACTCGAACTCGGCTCAGTAATGAGCTGCGAGTCAAGCTTATCGAGCCACGAGCTTGAGTTCAAATTCAAGCTCGAATATTAAATGAGCTCGAGTTCGGGCTTGTTAACAAACTCGACTTGTTATTTAAAATTTAAGCTAATATAAAATTTTTATGTATTATATATAACATTTATTATAACATTAATATAATTATTATACTAAGAGTTATACAAGTTAAAAAAAAAACCTAAATAACTATTTCAGCAAAGTGCTAATTAAAGCTGTAGCAGAAAATAACTGTTGCTGTTTTCTTTTGTCGAGAAAAAGTTGTTGCAGTAGAGAGCTAATTAAAGCAGCATAGTGCTATTTTTCTAAACTAATTAAAGAAGCAGGCTCTCCTTCAAGACCCGCACTTTGTCCTTATTCCTCATTTTTTTGAGCGAGCTTTCTTTACAGCCAACATGTTCTCAGGGACGATGAAGCAAAAGCTTCAGCTCTTCCAATCTTTCTTCTCCACGGCCGACACTTTCCCAATGACGACGAAGCAAAATCTTCAGCCTCGATTTTATCTTGAGTTGAGCTCTCGAGCATGAGAGAAAATGGACTAGTCGAGCTCGAGTTTTCGAGCCACTCTTTTGAGGGACAAGTCGAGCTCGATTTTGTTGCTACTTGAGCTCGACTCGACTTGTTTATGCCCCTAGTTTAATATGATATTGTGATGCACAAATTAGTATTTAATTTTTTATAGACTTAGAGGCTATTTGGATACAGGATTTAAGTAGGATTTGAGTGAAATCTTGCCAAACACAATAAAGCCACCTCAAACTTCACGATAAGTTAAATCTAAATTTAATGCGGTTCTATACTTTTTCTACCCTTAATTTGGTAGATGTATGGGATTTAGTCGAATAAGAGCGTGAAATGGTGGAAGATAACTACCTTTACTACGAGCTCCCTTTGTGACTTTAGATCTGACAGGAAGAGCATCGTTGAAGGAGGCAAAGTGGAGTTTTATGATTCTTTCAAAACTCTCTCATACGAAGTAGGTAGGAGTCGAACAACAACGAAGGAATGGAGAGAACAAACCCTAGACAAGCCTAAGGCTATAGGAAGGGCATAGAAAAAGACCAAAGAGGAGGAATTATCGAAATAGCTAGGTAATGGCAGAGAAGAATATTATATATCCAACATGTCTCTTATATCATTTCAAATATGTTAAGCTCAAACCCAACCCTTGGGTCAACTTGGTTGACCCAATAGGCCCTCAAGGGTCAAAATGGTCAAGCTAACAAAATTAACCAATTCAACCCTTAGGATCACCTCTAGCAAACTCTAAACATCATTTGAAATCTGTTGAGCCCAACCCCTATCCCTGGCTCAACATGGTTGACCAAGTCAACCTAGGTTGACTAAACCAAATATAAATTATATGTTCACTCAATCCAATCTCAAATCAACTCCAAACTCAGTCAAACTCCTTTGAAGACCTTTCCTAGTGGTTTGGACTTGACTTGCG